TTTATTTAAACACTGCAACATATAGCCTCTCATGCTGAATCCAGACTATGGGATGGTATGGTCTAGGTAAACAGTGATGGAGAAAGGAGTAGAAATGGGGAGGAGGAAAGCAGAGAATGGATAAGATGAAGGAGAAAAAACTCTACAATAACCCCAATCTCTGTAATTTTCCCATGAAGTATTACGTAACTACACCAATCTGTATAACCCACATGTACTCAAAATACACATATTCATTCTCTGTGCTTTTATGACCATATGGCTCTGCATACAACTATTTTCTAATTGTAGATGTGTCCCAAAATTGTGAGATGTGGGACTCAATATCAAGTATTTTTTGTTTCCCATAGCACCTAGTACATGGTGGTGACACAAAAGGCATTCATTCAAAGCTATTTAGCTATTGACTGACTAAATAGATTACATAAAGTCAAATCAGGAATAAGATTTAATGTAAGAAAAAACACTGCAACAGAATTTTTAAAAACTCAGAAAAGGCTGAGCTGTCTCAGGATTGTGGGAATTCAACATCTTTCTAGGACTTAAAGCATAGTGCAGAATCATGCCAGGGATGTCAAAGGAAAAAAAAAAAAATTAAGGACAGTCTAGTTGAATTTTAGGATTACACATGACTATAATTTTCTGATTCCGTCAATACTATAAAGAGTCATTTCTCTTCTAAAAAAGTAATATTATGTAGCATGATTTGGATATGGTAGGAGATTAGCATAATTGATGTAAAGGTTTTTTAAATAAATTTTTAAAAATCTCATAAAACTGAATCTTGGTGAAATGAATTATATTTGACGTAGTCTACAAAATCAGGCAGGCTTCCCCAAAACTATTAAGTATTATATTAGTTACTTGTGTAAATTAACATCAAATATGACAATTACACAGGAGTAAAGTCGTTAAAATATCTAGTTATTCATTCAAAAGCAACATTTGTCCCAAAGATCTAAACTTTAAAAAGAAAAACTATTAGAATTCATTAAATGTCCTTATTAATTCTTTGATTGCAACACTTTCTAGATATCCTGTTAGATTATCTTGTTAGTTATGAAAAGGTTTTGGTCATAGATCAGTGAAGAAAATGCCTGTGTGAGAATCAAGTCCCTGGGAAGTAGTTTTAGCCTGGCTCTTCAGAATCGCTTCATAGTAAGAAGGAGATACAGCAAGAGCTTTAAAATGAATCAGGCTTAAATGTTCCATCTCCTCAATTCTGTATCAAAACACCCACAGTTCAAAGTGGTGGTTAAGAGGCAATCTCCAATTTATGAAATTGCTAAATATATACAGTATATTATTGCAAAAGAAGGCTATGAATTCAATCATCTTACTTGCTTATTTTTCTAAGTAAAATCAATGCTAAGCTGTGATCACAAAAATGGAAAGTTCATGATAGCAGACAACGCTTTCTTCATTTTGAAAAATAACTTCATTGGAAAATATAAGGGCATATAGAGAACAACATAACAAATATAACAAATATCAGGTAAATGTCAATCTGAATTAAATGTTAAAAAGCATCATTTGATTATATATGTTATATAATATTTATCTATATTTCTAAAGTAGAAAAAGCAAAAGAAAAGTATTTCTAGTACATTTCCATACTATAAGTAAATGGAAATTTGAGGTAAGTTCATGAATACTAAAATATTTTACTCATAACTTTTTTAATAATATGGTCTCTAAAAGGAGATATTCTTTAGAAAATAAAAATGTAATTTACTTGAGTCGATATCAAATTAATTTCACAAACCTCTTCAAACTTCGGACACTCATAATTCCAACCACAGATCTTATCATTACCGGTAAACATGTTCATGGACATCATACAGATGGTCAGTGTCACTGTCCCTACTATGACTTCCCAGGGGTGGGAGGCCACAAAGAGGCCATGCATTCGGAAAAGTCTTGACAACATGGTAGCTACAGATCCTTGAATCCTGGAAGGAATATTATGTATGAACACTTAGTATACAGCTCACTGTACTTTTAAGAAAAGATTTCAAGGAAAAGTAAGTTGTAAAACCTGCTTTTGTATGCACAGGGTCTTGTACATATAAATATTATTATTTGATAATGCTCTTTATAATTTTGGAAAATAATTATTAAATTAAAATAAGAAGGCTCTGTTATTAATTCTTTACTTACAACACTTAAATCCTCTATTATTCACTAGCAACCAACTTAACAGCTATTTCTTACAAATTGTATGAATTAAGCCATTTAAGATAGAACCAAACAAATATCTCAGCCCTTGATATTACTTGAACCAAGGAGGAGAGCAATATAGCAGAAAATAAAATGAGAAGCAATTATTCACATTTATTTTCTTATTACCCTTATGTAAAATGCATATAAGCATCCTCTTCATTCTCTACATTCTGGTTATGCAAAAGGTAAATATGAAAGAATCTACTCGTTGAGTGTCCTCCTATAAATCATTATCTTAGTTTATAAAGCTCCTCAAGCAAGAGAGGGGCTCATTACATTTTAACATTCCATCCAACATATGGCCTAATGTCACTAGCCAAACGATGTTTAATAAACCTTCCTAATGCTGCTGTCACCAGAGAGAAGTCTTTTCATAAACTTTTACAGCTTATCAACATGCTAAAACAGTATCTCTAGCATTCAAAAATTCCCAACAGAACATATAGGTAATTTTGATATAATGACTACCATGAGTAAACTTTCCCATGTTTGCTGGCTAAATAATAATAATAATTTTGATACTATGATTAAAAAATATCTAGTCTACAGCCATACTACCCTGAATGAGCCCGATCCTGTCTGATCTTGGAAGCTAACTAAGCAGGGTTGGGCTTGGTTAGTACTTGGATGGGAGATCACCTAGAAAGGTGCGGTGCTGTAGGTGTAAAAAATAAAAAATAAAGGATTGTAAGCTGACAAGGTTCTTGTGACCTGTGAGGTCAACCAAGGGTTGCCTCGCCTAAAAAAAAAAAAAAATTATATACATTTTAAAGGAATATTGTTGTATGCATACTGATTTAGGATTGTTATACCATTCTCTTGGACCATATCAAACGCCCTTCTTTACACTAAAAATTTTTAACATCAAGTCTACTTTGAATGATACTAGTATTTAAACACAAGCTTTGTTTTATTACTGTTTGCATAGTTTATCTTTTCTTTCCTTATTATTTTACTTATAGACCTCCTGTTTATATTTACAGGTGTCTTTAGTATAAATCATAAAGTTTTTGTTTAATGTAGTCTTATAATTTTAGCCTTATATACTTGGAATATTTTGACCATTTAAAAAATATAATTACTGACATACTTAAGTTGATATTTACCATTTTATTATTCATTTTCTGTTTTAGTTCATCTTTTTTATATCCAACAATCAACACCTGGACTATAATGCAGTTATCTTTGTATTCAGCCTGCTTGTGGAATACTTATATTTTTGAATATGTGGTTGATGTTTTTCAAAGCTTTGGAAAATTTTTAGCTTTTATCGCCACTCCTTCTGGGACAGTGTAAAATATTTTAGAAATTTAGAAATCATCTTAAACATTTATAATTCTCTTTCTGTTTACTTTTCACTCTCGCTCCAATATCTGAATCAACTCTAGGTATGTTTCTCTTGTTTCTCTCTCTATATTGATAGATTTCATTCTCTCTCCACATGTCTAGAAATATTTTTATTACATGTCAGATATTGTGTATAAATGAACCAAAAATTCCTCAGATGATATCCTCCACGAGAGAGGGTCTAGACATCTTTTCACTGTTAGACAGAATGATGACTGATAACTTCAATCTAATCAAGAGTTCATCTTGGGATAGGTTGAAAGTTTAGTAAAATGCAAATTACTTCTGGACTGGCCCTGTAGCTTAGGTATAGACTTTCCAAGCTTTTGATTGAGAGCAATGCGGGTGTTCATCTTCTCAAGTCTAAAATACTATGATTCACTTCTCTGATTAAGAGTTTTCTATATTAATGTGTGCTAGATATATGTTTTGGATATTAGAGAAAATTACATTGGGAGTTTGATGGATGAGTACTGAGTGAACAAAGAAATATATTATTTTAAAATCACTCTATTCTTTTGTTCCAAGTAAGCTAAATAAAAGAGAAATATTTATTTCCTGTAATCTTGTAAAGTTAATTCAAAAATGATAAAAAGAAAATAAAGTGAGAGGCATTAAGAAATTTTACCATAACTATTAAGCAATAGAAAAGTAATTCTGAATTATATGACCAATTCCTTCCTCTATATTATATTTGCCTTCCATATATAAATTACCTATTCTCCATGCATGACTCTTATGAAAGGCAAAGGTAGGCATCTGGTGGGAATTGTGGCTTATCCCAACCATACTCAATTGTAATGCCATGAGAAATTAATAAAACCAAAATTAAATAGATGAGGTAAAGGGGTGAAGAAAATCTTCTGTAAATTGTGGTGATGGTAGCACAACTTGGTGAACTTTAAACGTATGACTTTTATGGCATGTGAATTATATTTCAATAAAGCTGTTATAAAGATGGACTGTCACCTACCTTCACATTATCTTTATATGAGTAGAGTTCATGGTTAAGAGAACAACTTTCTTTTAGGCCTTGACCTGCAGAACTCTGATTTAAGATTTCCAAAATGAAAAATGTCAACGACTACTTCCATTTGCTTTATAACTCATTCATCCAGAGTTAATACGTGGCATGTGCATTGGTGCTTTAAAGCATGTTTATTTATGGTGTTATAGAACAAGTATACCCAGTAAGGTGAAAAATTAAGCCGTGAACTCACAGAGCCTGAACCTTGTCTCAATTTACTGCAGCAGCCAAAAACAAGGGAAAAAATTGGGTTCCAAAGGGAATATCAAACACTTGGAAATTCTAAAATCATCTTATATGCACAGCATCTGGATCTGCATTAATAAATCAAAGGAAACAATAAACACACCCAAGCTTCGTCTGCTAAAACCAAAGTTGTGTTGGTGCATAAATGTAAACTTACCCGGTCCAGAGCTGCTTTCTTCAGCTCATTTCTGGCCACAGCTAATTTTTGTTCCAGATCAGTAAGCTGCTGGGCCTGTAAAATGAAGGAAAAGTAAAGCTTTTCAGTAAATTCTATAATCGTTCCTCCACTTTAAGCATCTGTCATTCACTGCCAAAAAATTTTAAAAAATGATCTTGGAAAATTCACTTAGAAATCAGGTTAAAAGTACTGTATTATATGGTCATTTGGTTAAGTTGCAGAAAATGATGTATTCTAGATGAATATGCATGAAATATGCACTAGAACAAAATATCCAGCTGCAAAGTTCCAACTCAAGTCCCTGAAAATAACTTCTAATATAAATTCATCTGTATGTTTCTAGTTCTATGGATTGAATTATGTTCCTCTAAAATTCATATGTCGAAGCTCTAACCCATCCCTATGTGATTATATTTAGAGACAGGGCCTTTAGGGAGGTAATTAAAGTTAAATGACTACAAAAAGTGGGACCCTAATCCCCCCTACTCAGGCTCACACAGAGTAAAGGCCATGAGAGGACTCCATGAGAAGCCACCATGTGCATGCCAGGGAGCATTCTCACTAGAGACTGAATCTGCCAGCATCTTGATCTCAGACTTCCAGCACTCAGAACGGCAAGATAATACATTTCTGTTGTTTATGCCACTCATACTGTGGTATTTCATTACAGCATCCTGAGAAGCCTAATATAATAGTATTCACTCTTTTTATTATTGAGTTTTAGTCTAATACACTTCTCTAACCCACCATAGCTCTGTACCTTTGCAAATGACATAATTGTGCTATTAAAAGAGCAATGGCCTCAGATTTGGAAGGTGTGTTTTAAAATCCTGCCTCCACCAATTTCTAGCTGTATTTTGTAGCTATATAGTGACAAGAAGATGCTCAGCAGGCTCATAAAGGGCGTGCAGGAGAGACTCAGGGCCTCATAGCTCAGAATCTCTGTATACCGCTGGACTTTGCCTGCCTACTATGTTTAGCCAATAAAAAGAATCTAAAGCTGGAAGCGACAGAGGATCTTTCTCATGTTGTTGTGAAGCAAGGAAATTGAGTTTGCCAAGGAGAAACCTGCAGCAAGAGGCTCATCTTTTCTTCAGTGACCTGGACATCGCCTCTCTGAATGCTGCGATGTCATGGGCTTGTAGAAAGGTTATAGTTAACAACCAATGTCCCGTTTGTCTGTTGCTCATTCTCTCTCTCCCTCATAGGCTGGGCACAAGCATCTTGAAACTCCATCCTTGGTTAAAGTTTTCTGCCCTACAGCAAATATCTAGGAGAAAGGAAAGGGTGAGGATACTGTTCTTGTTTATGAAAACTTATATGTGTTCTTTGTATCCACGTCTAGCTATCATCTCTTAAATTGCTCTGTGTTATTCTCCATACTTCACTGTTGTAGAAAATAATTTTCCAGTAGGCACTTGAACCTAAATGGCTACCTAATCCATGTATATACAATACATCATATGTGTACATAAGTGTAAATACAATACTTACAAATAAAATCATTCTGAATAAAAATGAAAAGAGAGATAGAGAGCTGAGGAAAAGTGGGCTTCCAGTAAGAGGGCACCTACAAGTGGGCTTTGAGCCCCTGTCCTGGTGCCTGACTCATAACTCCCTTGTCCCTCTTGGTCTCTGTCCTTCTCATCTTCCCACCACTGGACCCCACATCGAGAGGTCATCAGGACCATAGGCCTCAGTCTCAGATTCCAAGCTCCAGGCTCGGGCCACGCTGTCTTCCCTATGTCACTGCTGCCCCTGGCCCAGCTACGTTCCTCAATTACTGAATACTGGGGACTCACACTGTGATAGTCCCCGGCCACCAAAGGCCCTGCCTGAGCCAGCTTCGTTCCATGGGAGTGAACCCCAACAGAAGGAAGGAGAAGAGTGACCCTTACACCTGTCCCACCTCCTTGGCCTGGCACAGGAGTCAGGGATGACAATTTGGCCACAGTGGAAAGTGGTTATGGGGAAATTCTTCCTGGTCCATGCCAGCCCTAGTGCTACTTGACATTCCTGGTGACCAGCTGGAAGGGACCTCCAAGATGCCTAACAATCTCCTGTGTGTTGGGCACCCCTCTAACCCCCCACTCCCTAACCCTTTTCATGTTGTCAGGCTATTTCCTTTTTTAGGGTCCTCTTTAGTGGGTGGTCACTTTCTCCAAGATGTTGTCATCAGTTATCTGCAGTCCAGAGGGCATCTGAAATAGGTGCGGGTCCTTCTGCCTCCATCCTTCTGCCATTTTGTATGAGTTTCAGCCCAAATCTTGTCATCCAAAGTAGAGGATGCCTACTAAAGAATGACTTCAGTGTATGTGTAATATAGCAAACCAGGAAATGTGTATCAGGGCAGGTAGAATGTATTCCAACCAAAACACAAATATGTCTTTGAAAGCTGTATTACCATCAGTTCCCGAGTTTTCAAGTATTTACCTCTTTTAAGAACTCATTTAACCTGGTAAAATGTAGCCAAGAGATCTTGGGAGACAGAAAGTTAAACAAAAGAATCAAGAAAAACAATCATAGGAATAGCAGGTACTGACCCATGTTATCATACTGTAGTCTTAGTTTTGAAAGGATCGGTGGCTAGATTAATTCATATGTAGTAGTTATAAAATTATATAAAACAAGAACAGTTATGTGGGTGTTAAACCATCAGAAGACCTATGAAACACAGGGTACTTTACCAGATAGTGAATTTTATTTATTTTAAGTCAAGCGTACTTGTTTTCTCAATTTAATTCCTGTGAAATAAAAGATAGGATTTCTTAAGAGGAGCTAGTCATGATTCTAGAATAACTTTCATTCACATTCAGTCATTGAATAACTATCTATGAAGTGATTAATTTTCTCAAACTAGGTAACAGCATCTGTGTATAAAGGTTGAAAACATACACTGAGAAGCAATCATGTAGAGTAAAAATCATAACACAAGATTCTAACTGATAAACTGCAAGTGTGTCTAAGCTAGAACACAAGACTGGGAAGGGGTTCCTCGGAGTGGCCTAAGAAGTCAGTGTCTTCTTCGTAATCAAGGTCACACCACATGTACATTTTTTCATTTGAGCTTTATGACATGTTTAGAATCTAGAGTCCATATCATAATTCTTAATTTACTTTCTTCAAAACGTTAATTACAGAGCTCCAAGATTTTATGGACCACGAAATACTGAGGCCTAGTTTAGCTCCACCACCCAGTCTGTTGCTCCTTGCTGTTTTTCCCAAGTATACGCCTTAAACTGAGCTAGATTATGAAGGATGGCATCACTGTTTTATTTAATGCAAAAACTGTCTTTTTCTTCCCCTAAGAAACATAGATGTATAACCAAGAAACGAACAGGACCTAATGTTAAGAGTTAAATTTTATCCGAAATTTCAATGAGTCATCTTAGAAAATTTTGTCAATTGGCTAAATCTGCAAGATTCTAATTCATCATTCATAATTTAGGTTAGTGATTCGATATTTCTGGAAACTAATTGACACAATTTATTTTAATCCTTTCCTACCCGTGCCCTCTTAGTAAGCATATCCACCTATCATTTTTTTTTTTTAAATTTTCTGGTGAATTTCCTTGAGGTTTACAGAACATAGAAATATTTATTCCTTACCTCTGGTAAAAATGACTTGAAACAATTTTTAACATTCATAATCATATAAGATCTATGGAAAGCATATATATCTTGTGAATGGAAAGTGAAGGTGCATGTGGGGTAGTGACAATAGGAGGGGGCACTGATAATGGGGCCATACTGTCCTATCCATTTGTCTTGGCCAAGAGGTAATTTTTTTCCAAGACTTCTGGCAGCCAGGTATAAAAAGAAATGTTGTTGGCTCCAAAATTCTCATTATCAAGGATAGTAAACATACCAGGGACACAGACAGTATAGGTTTTTTTCCAAGCATAGGTTCTAATATAAAATTATAACAAACAGAGTCTACAATTCCACTCAGAAAACCATTTTTTTAGGAGCCAAGAAAATATAGTCCAAAATCACGGTTTATCTTAAACCAAGTATACCACCTAAGATGCACTGATGTGTGTTTGTGTGTGCGCACACACACGTTCGTTTTCCCAAGAAGACACAGAAAGCAGTGTGAGCAAGTCACAATAATTCTACCCTTTCTCACCCACTCTAGAAGACTGATTTAAATACAAACGAATTATAAACAGCTTAGGCACCAAGATATAAGAGACTACAACATTTTTTTTGGTCAGTAGAACTTATTTTTTTGTCATTCGTGCCTTCCACATAATGAGTAAATGCCATTAAAAAAATTAAATATTAAACTATATTGGGCTAAATTGAGAAGATATAAGGACCAGTACAGTCTTTTGAATGTTGACTAAAATCACAGTTAGCTCAGCTTCTAGTAAAACAGGATAAAGAAGCACCACAAGGTATCAGCATAATGATGTCTAGCCAGATTCTTTTCTGGCACCTTCTTGGAAAGACTAAACTGGAAATTGTCCTATCTAGGGTCAAATGAGGAAACCACGCATATAGATTCTAAATAGGAAATTCAGAATAGAGCCTCCTCCTACTGTTTTGCTCACTGAAGAGTTTTAATAAATAAACCCAGAGGACTACTATAACTCATTTACTGGGGATATAGGTTGGTAGAGAACTACAATGGTTGAGTGTGTTAGGTTATTGACGGTAACAGCCAACATTATAATAAGCTTTTAGGTGGCATCAGCAAAACAAGGTCAGAAATTAATTGCTAGAGGTTTCTAACCATAGCTTTACCACTTTCTTATTAACAATATGGTTCTTGCTCTACATTTTGGAACCAATAAAAACATGCAAGTATGTTCCAGCAAATGATGCAGAAATAGAGATAGTGAGTACAAGAAATGTTCCACTGGAGTATAAGAAGAAAACGTTAGAAATTCTCCATTTTAACTTTAGATTTTAACATTGTAAAATAGATGGTATTATAAAATATTCAAAAATATCCCATGGTTGTTCTAATATAAAACATATTTGAAGTTATATTTAATCTCATTTTCTAATCTCATCATTGCTTTTCTTTCATTTTGATTATGTTTATA